TGCTACGTAGCGCCTTTTTCGAGTGAGGCACCTTAGAAAGGGCCCTATCGAGCTACCACATCCTACCCAAACGCCTACCGCGGCTTGTACTGCTTTATTTGCGAAGTAAAATATGAAGCAAAGGAATAACATACAGGCAGCCGTACCCACCGTAGCGGTCATTGGCAAGATGTCTACGGAAAACTCGTCCGAAATGTCATTAAGAACGAAGGTTTTTCTTCGCAGGTTTTTGACCGTTTCACTTCGTTTTTTCGCCATTTTCCCCACTATATGGCGCCCTGCTAGCATTTTAGGCCAATTTACAAAATATCGTGCCAACTGCTTTTAAGTGATGTCATGTGACTGCCAAACTGATTGGATCCCGGAGCTTAGGTAGTGGATGGTGGTCAGTGGATGCTTACAGAGATATCGTGGAAGCAGCGATTAAGTTGATTACTGAAACTGTCGTTATCTTTCATGAACACTATCACTAAGGAGTAGCGTTCTACCTGGACACGCGGAAGTACATGCAGAAGTAGGATACTTCCAGAGGCAAGGATACAAGAGGTTGTGTAGTGCTTCAGTGAAGGGGCTGATCTAGCAGTAGGATGCTTTAGCAACTAAATTGCAGAGCTCTCCAAAAGCACGCCTAGCGCTCAAGAATGGTGAGTTGCGCAGCTCATATACTGATGAAAGGGTGTTAGTTAATGCAAGAAACTCGCCTGAAATGCGCCTCATACAAGCCATGCTAAACCGTGTTTGTACGTTCAAGGAGAGGAAAGGGCGTGGTCGGAGGGTTTTTTGATTGTTGGCTATTTCTCCTTTTTCCAGCCCATTTTCCTCATCACCTTGTCTCACCACTCGAAATGGAGAGAGGTATTAGCGGAGCAACCGCACTCATGCAGTCGAAATGGACAGAGAGCTAGTAACGAAGTACCCGCATCTCGGGAAACTTTTAGGAATGAAAGCTGGGCGTGCCCGTGGCCTAGTGGGCGGAGCCGTGGCATCGTTGTGAGCGGGTCGAGTTTTCCTCATATTTTTGAGCTGCGACAGGATACCCTTTTTGCTAGCGGACAGGACTCATGTCCAAAGAAGGCGCCTGTGCATCAAGTGAAGCGGTGCGTGCCTCTATGTTCTCGCCTAAACTATAGATCTTTTAGAAACTGTCATAGGGCAAAGAACGAAATAAAGAGAAGTTCCGGGCGGCATCCGTAAGACATTCCAGAAGCTGTCGTTGTGTGTGTCCTTACTTTGTAGTTGTAGCGAAAGAGGCTGGAGGTAAGCTTGTGTGCCAAATTCGCAGCATGGCCCACTTAACGTGGCAACTTTGCGGCATGTCGAACCTCTTTCTGGCTGTGTCTTACGTCAGCTAAGTAGGAAATACTTTGCTAGTGCGCGCAAAGCTCGAAACTCGGAGGTATATACAGTTTGTAACATCGCTATCAAACGGGCGATTTTAAGAAGGACAGTATACGCCCACCCAGGGCGGTTTCACCACTGGTTGTTTTCTTCCCAAACTGAACACTAGCCAATCACTATTGGTAGATCAAGCCAGCCGAAGACGGAGCTTATTCCGCCCCTCCAGCCGCTGCCCCCGTCTGATGATGTGATAAACTATACACCCAACTATTTGAGTTTGTATTGCACCGTGTGGTGCTCATTACGCTGCGTTGAAAACTGGTAACCACGATATAATATTCCACTTATTCACTTGATTTAGGCTCCTGAGTCCTACAAAGACGTGACAGACGTCGTCAATACTTGCGACGTTGCGGGAATCAGTAAGAAATCGGTGAAACTCCGACCTATCGCGGTCATTAAGGGTTAAATTTCCACCTTAAAGGCGAATGGCATGCTTAGCTTATGATCTTGTTATTTTGTAGTCGTTGCGATCTGTGAGGTTACGTTATTCAAATTCGTTAATTATTGTTTGTCTTCTCAGTCACGGGATTGTTAATATTGCTGTTTTCTTATTTTGTGCATGAAGATGATTTTGTCATTGACTTGGTTTATCATGTTCTTCTCTTAAATATATTAGTAAATCTTCTAGACCAGTTCCTTTCTTGGCGGAGACGAAAAATGACGGATACTCCGGAAACAGACTTCGAGTGGAGTCGTTGTTTTGCTAAAAATGCAGGAAAATAAGCTTTAGAGTGACAGTAGTAATGGAAAAATTGTGATATCAAAGCGGTACGGAGCCGCTAGGTGACTTACTGTCGGATCGAGATCAATTTTGTTGAAAACAATAGCAGTAGGCCGATCGGAAAGTCCACTTTGATATTCTTCTAGTTCAGCCCGTAACAAATCAAATTGCTCTCGTAAATCACCTAATGTGATATCTAATACGTAAAATAGGCACCTGTAACAAGTTCCCAACGTTTTTTTTTTCAAATAATCGCTATAATTTACGGGATACCTGCATCTTTTCAATGTGTTTAGAAATGAACCCAAGACCGCGATCCTCATGCGCTCCCTCAATGAGTCCAGGAATATCAGCCACTAAAAAAATACTGAATAGAAGGCATGGAGTGAATAGAATTTCTGCGGCACACGCAAAAGGTTCAGAAGTTGAAAACCCGTTGAAGGTAGTCATGTTAAGAAAAATGTCCGAGTCCCAGAAATGCTCTAGAGTAGTATGGGTCATTGAAGGCATAAGGCGTTCTTGTATGCTGTTCAAAAATGGTAACAGGGGTGCACAGGGGGGCCAAAAAAAAGTCATTTTGCCTCCATGACTTTCAAGGCGCTATAAGTTACACTTTATTAAATTTTTATCGGACATTTTTACTACCATATTAAAGAGCACATTAAATACTATAATGATACTCCGCCACAGCCTTCTGGAGGAGCGCCATCGAGAGATTCGGCCGCGCGAAAGTGAGTGGGTACCGGAGTTGAGCGAGATCGTTGATTTCTCCGCCACTGTAGACCACCCTCTTGAGCTCCGCCCGAACTAGGTAATTGAGTGGGTTCAGGTCAGGGGACATACTTCAATATTACATCTTCTTCAGGTACGAAACGCCCTTCCATTCGAAGTAGGCGGGAGTTTTTTCCAAACCCTTTGATTCCATGTGGTGGCACCCAAACCTGTAGCAGCACAAGGTCTCCAAGAAGGTACGGGCGACCACATGTGATATTCTTCTCGAGTTACTTGATGTAACCGCCAGCGCTCACCTTCAGTCGGGGTCTACAAAGAAAATATCGGTCTTCCCATTCCAGGTACCTTGTCCATACCATCAACTCGCGCCTCGGCGAATACGGTGAAGATGATGTCCTAGACCGTAGCGACGTTGCCGTAGCTGGTCGATGTGGGAGGTCTTGCAGGTCAAGAGTACTGACCTCCAGGTAGCTATCTGTGGATGACTTCATTCAAGAAGTTTCGCAGCTGTTCGGAGGCGACGTGAATTCCAAAGGTGTTCTCCAGTCAGGCCGCGACTGGAGATGACTTCATATTTTGGCGTACATGAAGGCGATTGGCGGCAGCGTGCTCCAGCTTATAGAGGAAGATCTTGGGTATCTTCCACTCTGGTACTCATATCCACTTCCCCTGTCTGGGCTGCGAAAACTTCGTTGATATGTGGCTCGGCCGAAATGACTTTTTTGCCCCCCCCCCTGTATAGTAAGAAACATGATGAAAAGGCGGAATTAAACGGCCAAAGACCTGCGAAACAGCACTTGTTCTGGACGAGCATTTTTGAGGAAGCTTCCTGATGGCATCGTTCCGGCAACCGCATTGGTATTGGTTGTCCCAAAAGTTCGTAGGACTTTTTTTTGAATCTCGTATCAGATCTTTTCTTAGCCATTTCGAGATCCAGTTATGTGGTCTATGGGAAGAGTGTTAAGTAAAGCGTCTCACAGCTTCTTTAACGTCCCTCGCAGTCGCTGTTCTCATATCCAAAACGGTAATTGAAATTCATCATTTTCGACACACTTCGCTATATGAATCTCCACCAAGCCACAACGTGGTTGGAGCCACGGGCGGTATTTCTCTGAAATAGGTCCTGATGGTACCTTTCACAGTACGGCGTTGG